TAGCAGCGCCAAGTGTTTTTACATGAAAAATTTTTCTATTTAAATTAAATTTTTTCATTTTATACGGTTAATTCTTTAATTTTTTGTGGTAACACTTAAATTGAGCAAGGTCACGTAAGTTTGTGATGTTTTGTATAATATTTTGAAGGAGAATTAAATATCTACTACTTTAGTTGTGTGGAAGAGGAAACGTCTTTGAATGAATTGTGATATAATGATTTCATTTAAGAGGAATTTAAACCATTTGGATTTGAATAAGAAGATTCTTCAATAAGTATACGTATACTTAGATTTCAATATTTCATTGTATAAAAATTAAAGATAGTACTATTTGGATTAAGTAAATAATAAATAAAGATAGTATCACTTCAGTTTTATTTTTCATTCTGATAGTAGAATTTAACTTGGCGCCACAGTTGTTGATATCAAATCGTTCGTACAAATAATACATACCATTAGATTAATATTCATTATTTATTTAATTTGGCATGGTATAAAGAAGTGGGATTTAACTTGGCGCCAGTTTTTGATATCAAATCTTTTATAGGAATAATACATAAAATTTTTTTGATAAAATTTTGATGAATTTAACTTGGCGCCAATTTTGTTGATATCAATTGAAAATTAAACGAACTTACCTGTAAGTGAAGTTCGATTGAAATTATATGAGAAGCCTCGTTCGAGAAGATTACAACTATGTAGTACCACTCCGTGCCGCTCGATGTCACAACGTTCAGAGTCTATCTAAAAAGTTCCCGCCCCCCGCGAAGGCCATCTTGTTTACTCATATTTTAGAGTTACGCTGCAAAATTACCTGCTTGTTCTTTGTGGTGGGTTTTTTTTTATATATAGGGCGGGATTGTAATCTTCTCGAACGAGGCTTCTCATATAATTTCAATCGAACTTTACTTACAGGTAAGTTCGTTTGATTGTCAATTATACTTCGAAGCCTCGTTACCGAGATTACAACTATGTAGTTATTTAGAATGCAGGTAATTTTTCCGGCCTTATATTTTCTGCTCTATTTAGCAACTTTATTGTCCAAATTTGCTACTACCTGGATATGATTAGTGTTTTACTTCTTAATTTTTAATTATAATTTTTATTTTGATATAATTCGTCATATCAGCAATGTCATACTTAGATTTATACGCCTTTCTTATTACGAAATTACTGCTCTTGCAAATTTGCTGTTTGTTGATGTAATTGGTCGATTATAAAATCTTGCAAAAACGGACGACCCTGTCGACCATCCTGCGGTTTTTCTTATTGTTTCAATGTCTACCCCACTAGCGGTAAGCTGCAGACGTTGATGCATGTCTGGTTGAATAAGATGAAAAAAGAGATATATCGATACCGCATTTTCCTAACACTGACTTTATCCAACGGCTGATTGTTTATGTAGATACTGACCGATGTGGTTTATTAACCGCAACGAACAATCTTTTTTCATCCCCTCTTAGGGGACCTGTCCTTTTAATATATTCTAACCGTGTCCGGGCTATATATAATTCTCTTTTTTGATCGAAAAAGGGTACATTAATTAATAATGGTTGTGCTCTGCCTGGCCTTGATGTTTTCCGTCGATCGAGTATTCGAATTTCTAATCCGTCCTTTGTCTGACTGATATTTTCTAAATCAATTGAGGCAAACGTCCGAGCTCTGTGGGCTGTACCTAACTCTAACAGAATTATAGTTTTTTCTGTTAGTTCTCGCAGATTTAAACTTTTTACTGGATACCATGTTTTTACTTTATCCAAAACAATATTTGGATCCCATGTGGCTGTATATCTCGATCCTATAGGTTTTAAATTTGCCACACCCCTAAAAAATCTACACACCATCGGATCTTCACCAATATTATTTTATTATGTGAAACTAATGATATTGCTGACCGAAAAGAATTTAAGGACCCGTAGGACGCTCCCTCACTAAACATTTTAGTTAAAAATCTTAAGAGCTTATTTGCTGAAATTTGGTATGGATTCTCTTTATGGATTGCACAGAAAGACCACCATTTTTTTAATCCCGAGTTATACTGCTTCCAAGTATTATCTGATATTGATGCGAGAAGAATTTCGATTGTATCTATCGGAATGTTTCTTTTTAAATACGATCTCCTGACACAATCCCTGCCAGAAGTGTAATTTTCTGAGCCATCGGATGTCGCCTCGACCTGTAAGGAGATAGAAGTAGATTTTGAGACGGCTCAAACCTGAGAGGTTTTCCGATTAACATGCTTTTAAACATTGGATACCACGGTTGACTCTTCCATTCCGGGACCACCATGATACCCATTGCTTTGTCTTGAATTATTTTATTCAATGTTCTCAAAATCATAGAAAATGGTGGAAAAGCATAGAAAAACCACTTTTTCCATGATATGGTAAACGAATCAATCACCCATGCATTTGGATTGTTTTCCCAAGTACAATATCGAGTACATTTTTTATTTCTTTCTGACGCGAACAAATCTATATCCGGATATCCGAGAACATTAACTATTTTTTCAAATGCAAATTCCGCGATCTCCCATTTTGTGTCTATATTTTTTATTCTTGAAAGCCTATCTGCTATCACATTCTTTTCTGATGGAATATGTACTGCAAACAACCAAATATCTCTAGTTTCGTCCCATTTCCAAATTTCTTTTGCTAAGTGATTAAATTTTTGATATTTTACTCCTCCCATCTTATTGATGTATGAGATGGCGGTCGTGTTATCCACCTTTAGAAGAACATTAGAATTTTCTAGCTCTATTTCAAAATTTTTCAAAGCCAGTTGGATTGCTTTTAATTCTAGAAAATTTATATGCTGTTCTCTTTCTGTTTTATTCCAAAAGCCGTGAATTTTTTTACTACCAAGAACAGCCCCCCAACCAGTCATCGAAGCGTCCGTGTATATAGTCCAGTCAAAATTTGGACTTCTAATGTTACTAACGGATTGCTGAATGTTCCTCTTCCACCAGTTTAAATCGGTCCGTACTTGCTCTGATATTTCCATCTTTTGATCGTAATCGTTTTGGTTATAAATCAGAGCTAATATCTTCTCCCTCTCTAAAGTCTTCAGATAGACCCAGCCATAGTTTACATCGGGGCAAGCCGCCACTAATGTACCTATTAAATTCGCGAACTCTCGTATCTTACACGAACGCATCTGCATAAACTTATCGATTAAACTATTCAATCTTCGTTTTTTGTCGTTAGGTAAACAAACTGTATATGATTCTGAATCTATTTCGAATCCTAAAAATCTACAACAAGTTCGTGGATCTAATACGCTTTTCCTTATATTTATAACAAATCCTAACGCATTTAACAACATTTGTGTATATTGTACATTTTCCGCACATATCCTCGCCGTTTTTCCTATTGTAGAACTGTTTATTGGAATGACGACACTTTAGACGATCCGGCGTTAACCATTATGTATTTTGCTCAAAAGTACAAAGAATAATAATACAATGCTTCGTTTCACGTGTACGCAGGATCTCTCTCGATCACATACTTATTCTCTACTACTCGCTTATAACGCCGCGGTGGCACTCGCTTATCCTACGGTGGCGCTCGCTTATCGCGATTAGCCGCACATGGTACTGAATACTAGAGAAGCGCTCCTACATTCGGCTATTCTGACCACTGACCGACTCGGGCAGCAACTTATTGGTTGTCCACGGTTTAATATATTCTGCACATGTTGAAGTAATGAGAGGTCCTTCATGCGTGCCGACACGCTCTACGTTATAAGTATCATTTGCTTTAGCATCAGTTATCTTGTAAGGACCGAGAAACTTAGGTTTCAACTTCAAACCTGGACCCTGTTGGGTACGCTTAATTGCTACCAAGTCGTTTACATAGTATTTAGTCGGTTCTTTTCTACGCAAGTTATACGTTCGGCGATTCTCCTTTTGAACTTCTAAAATTTGATTTTTTGCAGCATTCCGCAATTCATTTCGTTCGTCCTGAAATTGATCACGTAATTCTTCTTCTATTAACTCTTTAAGACGAAAATCAACTTTACTCCGTAATTTTGTACCGAAAAGCAATTCGAATGGAGTAGTTCCGATACTACGGTGAAAGGAGGAATTAATTATCTGTTGTAATCTACCGATATGCTTATACCACTTGTCTGGTGCATCTACTGTTAATTTACTCAAGACCGACAAAATTGTACGATTTAGCCTTTCTACCTGGCCATTGGCCCTGGGTAATCCGGTGGTTGTCGTTAAATGCTTTATATTTTCTGACTCACAGTATACTTTGAACTCGTTTGAAGTGAAAGCGGAGCCTTTATCACTTATGATTTGAACCGGGTTTCCAAAGTAGACCTTCTGTATCTCTAACTTACTAACTACTTCTTTGGTCGTCGTTGACTTAGTGGCGTATAGCCAAACAAACTTACTAAAACTATCGATGATCGCCAGAATATGGTTATAATTCTTGTTAGTCGAGTGTAAAGGACCCAAATGATCAATATGATATGTGTGAAAAGGTGTATCGCCTTTCGCAATAGGATGAAGGAAACCTTCCTGTTTTCCACTCTTTCTATTCGTTAATATGCACGGAACACAATTGACGATACATCGTCCAACCTTCGATCTTAGATTTGGTATAAAATACTCTTGCTTAACTTGTTCTTCCGTAACTTTAACCGCGTAATGACTCTTCTGATGGATCATCTTTATAATTTCATTATGCATCGATTCGGGTACTACTATAAGGTCTAGACCGTTTTGCGATTTGTACAACATGTTTGACTTAACAAAATAATCTTCGTATGGTTGGCTTTCTAATATTTTAAATATAGGTATGAGTCCACTGTCATTATACTGAGCCTTCCGTATTTTTAACGTAGTTTCGCCTGTGGATATTAACATAATAGGATATCGACTAAGTGCATCGACGTGCCTCATTTTAGTGCCCGCTCGGTGCTCAATCGTGTATTTAAAGTCCTCGAGCATCAAAGCCCATCGCGCTATTCTTAATGATAATTCTTTCTTTTCCATCGTTCGCTGAAAAGCAGCACAATCCGTCACTATTTTAAATTCGATACCTAGCAAGTAGACTCTAAATTTCTTTAACGCGGTGATAATTGCGAGAGCTTCTAATTCATAACTAGGATATCTACTTTCAGCGTCGCTTGTTTTACGGCTTAGGTAGTGAATCGGATGAAGTCTTTGATCTTCAGGCGATCTTTGTAATAAAACGGCTCCGTAACCGTGTTGGCTAGCATCCGTATGTAACTCTGTTTCATAAAGCGGATGATAAATCTTTAACACAGGTTTCTTAATAAGTGCATCCTTTAACAAACAAAACGCGTTACTCTCTTCCCTGGTAAATCTGAATTTTTCGTCTTTGCGCAAAAGATCACTTAACGGCTTTGCTATAGTCGAATAATTAGCAATAAATTTACGAAAATAGCCAGTCAGGCCTAAAAAGCTCTGAACATCTTTTAGCGACTTTAGTTCTGGAAAAAGGGCAACTGCTTGTGATTTATCTGGAGACGGATGTAATGCACCGTTTTCTATAACATATCCTAAAAATACAACACGCTCTACCAAAAATTGACATTTCTTAATATTAATTTCGAGTCCGTATTCACTAGCCGTTTGCAATACTCTTTTTAGTCGTTTAATGTTTTCTTCAATATCTGGCGCGGCAATGATCAAATCGTCCAAATATGGAATAACAATCCCTTCTGCAATTTCTTTCGCGAACACGCAATTTATGAATCGTTGAAAAACTGACGGCGAATTACACAACCCGAAAGGAACTTTTAAAAATTGATACTGTCCACAGTGAGTCACGAATGATGTATACTTGCGGGAGTCATTTGTTACATCTACATGAAAAAACCCATTCCGCAAATCCAAAGTACTAAATATTCTTGCATCCTGCAATTTATCTAATTGATCTTCTATAAGAGGTAGCGGGTACCTATCTTTTACTATCACCCGATTTATCTTACGATAATCAACACAAACGCGTGATGACCCGTCCTTCTTTTTTACAATCACTATTGGGCTGGCGTATTCGGAAGAGCAAGGTTCTACTACGCCGTCCTTCACCCAATCACGCACTTGCTTCTCAACGATATCGCGCTCTATCGCAGGCAATCTCCGCGGTCGTTGATAGATCGGTTCCTCCGTCTTTAAAACAATATTCATTTCGACGTTCGTTGTTTTACATTTAGCGGGTCTATAATTTGTCACTATATGTTTAATCTCGCCTTTTATCTTCTCATTCACTTGCTCACCAATATCTAACGAGGGTTCATCTCCTACATTTATGTCAGCTAAAAAAACAAATTGTCTTTCTTTCGTAATTGTCACTTCACCCTTAGCGATAGTAACATTGGCTTGTAGCAACACGTCACGCCCGATAATCATGTCCAATGTCATAGCGGAATTCGGAACTACATATACTTTAACTGAAAATTCCTCGTCGTCTATCTTAATTATAGTCTGGAAACATCCTAACGATTTAACTTCGGCTTGACCGAATCCGACTAATGAAAGTTGAACGCTATTTAGAGTAGGTTCCTTTAACTCATGATAAATTCTTTCGCAGATAAATGTTACGCGACTACCCGTATCTAGACAAGCACGGACTTTTAAGTCACCGACTATTACCTGTTTACATATATCATTATTCGGCGCAACAGAAATACTATTTACTGACGCCTTGCTTCTGTCGTTATTTACTTTCTTACTTTCTGCATTCGCAACACATTCAAAGGACCTGTGTCCGAATTGGTTACACTTAAAACATTTTGGCCCTAACGTTTTCGACTTACAGTCTTTAGATGCATGTCCGACATCACCACAGTTATAGCACCGTACCGTCTTAGTTTGGACCTCTGACTTCTTTGATTGTTCCTGCATCGTCTTCTTTGCCGCTGTCACCTTTCCCCGGATACTCTTAGGAGCTTGCGTCTGGTTCGCCTCCCATATCTCCTCGTATGCCCGTAAGCGCTCTTTGAAGTCACGCAATTTTTTGGTCCCATAAAGAATCGCTTTGTTTCGTTCGTCGTCCTGAATACCATAGATGACATATCGTATCAATGCCTCGTCTTCGATTGTTCCCCTGGCCGCTAATTCTTTCATTACTAGGTAATATTCTTGCAGCTTCTCGCCTTTCTTCATCGTCCTCTCAGACAGCATTCGATGCAACAAAGCACTGTCTATTTTAGTGGAAAATTCTTTTTTCAGCATAGCCTTCAAGGTTTTCCAATTCTTCACGACATCTTCGCTCTGAATATAAAGTTTCGCAAGTCCTGTCAAAGATCGTTTAGCAAATATCAGCTGCTGCATTTCAGTCCATCCAAAAAGCGTTGTGGTGTCCTCAAAATCTGCTATCCATCGTTCAACCGGATAGGCGTCACTACCATCAAAATTCTTAATAGAGCCTTCCACGTCTCGAAATGTCAGCGCAAAATCTCTACGCCTCGCTGTTTCCCTCTCTTGCTGTATCACTGGTAACTCGTTACATCTTGCATGGAATCCAGCATTTCCTACTTCGTTCACCCCACCAGTGTTTTCGTTACCCATACCGTTCGCGGGTACGTAATCACTTTTACTACTCGCGCCTTCATCGTCGTCGCCATCGTCGTCGGAATCATCATCATTTTGACAGAGTATATGAAAATCCATCAAGCTCTTGCAAATTCGCTTGGCAATATCTTCTTTCGGTCCTCCGTAATCCAAAGAATGTTACAGATCGCTATCAGATCACGCTCCGTAAAAGTCTCCTGGATAAGTGCAACTTTACCGTGATAGTCGCTCCCTCCATCTTGAAGTGTAAATCCGCTGAAACTTCTCAATCGGTTACGGTTTTTCCGATCGCCTGCTTCGCCAAACACCAATTTATGGAACGCCTGAATCACTTTCGCGGGAGCTGTCGCGATATTTTTCCTGATTCTTTCATTTTCTCCTAAGCACTCCATTGTATTCGGCACTCAAAGAACTGTTCTCGTATCGTAACTTCACTTCTCACTTACACGTCGTGCTTCTCCGTCATGTATATGCGCTGTAGCTTTTGCGCATACACTGTCCCGCGTCTTTCGCGCCTTCAATATGGCGTCCGATGCTTCTCGAACCTTCTAGATCCTTCCTTACGTCTTTTCGCGCCTTCCGCTTCCTTCGTCGTCTTCTTTCT